TGGTTTTCTGGCCTAATGACCAGCTGGGTAGGCATGGCTGGGTGGGCTTGTGACTGGGTGGGTGTGACCAACTTGACATCACTCATTTTGAGGGATGTCTTGCCTTGCCCGGCCTCTCCTCACGTTGTTGGAGCTAAGCAGCCACCACGAGGAAGAGTTGACAAAACAGCTGGTATAGTTCAAATTGGAACTGGCCGAGAAGGAGGCTCAGTAGAAACACGTCACTGAGGACTACGAGCATAGGCTTTCCAAGGAGAGGGAAGGCCTGCGGAAGTGCAAGGCCTGGAGGCTTAGCGGGATAAGATGCTCAGCCAGTTCCAGGTCACAATGCAGTCCCACTGGAATGAAGCCCTTCAGCTCTTCGCCACCAGTGGCACTACCCTCCAGCCTTCACCCAAAGCCCCACACCAGGAGGCTGAAGCAGACCCAATTCCAAGTCGGAATTTCTGCTTCCCCCCCCCCCCAACAAAAAGAACCCAAAGGGGGACATTCTGCAGCAATCCTGGCATGGGTGACTGCAAGGAGCTGGCATGGGCCAAGGTAGGACTGCTGCAGCCCATCTTCCAGCAGCAGAACGAACTGCAGGGGAATTCAGGGCCTGGTTGTGAGAAGACCCATGCTCCTGGGAAGAGGTACCTGGACTCCTGGTGATGGGATGTGGTCCTTCAGGCACTTAGCCTGTCGCCTGTTTAACCAGCCCCTCCCTCCATCACCGGGAGGCCAGGCGCTTCAGCGGGTGGAGAGTGAAGCCTTGCCGGGCTCCTCGGCAGACAGGGACTTCACAGAGGCCAATCTAACACCTGGGCTGGCTACAACACAATCTTACATACTCGGCCTTATTTAAGATTCCAAGCTGCAATGGACAACGAAGTTAGAATTGACATCCACCTGCATCAATCCAGCAGACAAAACAGGAAAGGGGGTCAGAGAGAAACAGTCCAGTTGCCAAGGTACTATCTCTACACGCTTCCTGTCCGGCTGCTGCTGCGAGAATGGGAGGAGAGGCTGAGTGAGGGGAGGAATGGCTGGGAGGGACAAGGCTTCAGCCGGTTCACCAAACTGAACAGTTAGCTACCAGTTCTACTGAACCAGTATGAATCAGCTAAATACCACCACTGGATGATTGGCTTAAAAAATGTTGGAAATAGGAGATCTGATTAAATTAACTGCTTTAATCGAAAAGAATACACCCAACTTGGAAACTGCTTCTGGATTCTATGCTAGAGATGAAAAAAAGTGAAACTTTGATTTTGGGTTTTGCTGATTAGGTAAGTTTGTTGTTTTAGAAATGGCTTGTATAGATTTAGTCTGTAAAACTAAAAAGTTGAGGCTGTGATGTTATTAGTTTATCCTCATGTGCTAAAAAGAATCAAAAGTCAATGCTTGTCTTTCTTTTTTTTCCCTTTTATCCCACATTTCCCATATTCCCACTATTTTAATTTCCAATTGTAATTTATGCTTTGATGGCTTTAATAAAATTATTATTTAAAAAAGTAACAGCAGCAGAAAAGTGAAGTCCCCTTTCTCTTTTCTCCCACTCCCTGGAATTACTTTTGTCAGCAAGCCAGGAAATTAGGTAATTGGAAAATATTATATCCCAATAATATCAGTTACCACATATTTTGGTGCCCCAAATTAGGAGAGGGGTTATTCCAAAACAGGTAGGCAGTAACTAAATTGAACATTCATGACTTGGCCATGATATTAATCTCAAACATTCTGTCTTCATCTTTCAATGCACTACTCTTTTCATACATTCAAAGTAATTGCCAATGAAGTACAAATTTAAAAATGAAATAATAGCAAATAATAAAAATAAAATAATAAATTGATGAATGTCATCAGCCTTCTCAGGATTAAACAGTAGTGCATAAGCTTAGTTTTTGTCCACAGTTAGAAGTCAGTGGCTTTAGTGGCCATTGTACATTTTCTCCAGAGAAGAATGAGAACTTTCTCCAGAGAATGTTCCATAAATCCTCCACTGAAAAGATTCTCTGGTGGGTTTCATTCACTGAATCAGTGATAGCAGAAACATCCAGTGAAAGGCCTCAAGTAAAAGAGATGATCTGGGCCTCCAACAATAGAAAGTTTTAACAGGATTTTTAATTATATTTTAAAAAAATCAGGAAGATTTAAAAACAAAATAAAACAAAAACAAATGTAGCCACTGTTAGTAAATTAGCAGCTGTGTCATAAAACAAATGCAAATACTTCTGCTGGATTTATATGATGAGGACAAAACAGGAAATTCCTTTTCAGATTTTAGACAAATTCATTCAGAAGAAAAAAATAATTTAACCAGGCATGTTCAATTAGCAAACGAATAAGAAAATAATGGGGGATTTCTTAACTTTTATTTTTTGTAAACTACCAATCCTCAAACAATGTAGTTGTAAACAATCCACTTTCCAATTAAGGTGTTTAACCTTTGTCTTTTAATTTTCTTTTTTTTAAAAACCCACTTTTAATTGGTTACCTTACTTACTTTACATCTTTCTTAGTTTATTCTTAACTAGTTGATAACCCAGAGTTGTCCAGGTATTTATTTATCACCGGCTCCCCATTTCTGTGTGTATCTCTTTCTCTTCTCTCTCTTCCCTATCTCCCACCCTCTGTATCTCTCTGTGTGTGTCTCTCCCCCCCCTCCCTCTATATCTCTCTGTGTGTCTGTCTCTCTCCCCTCTCCCTTTGTATCTCTGTCTCTCTCTCTCCCTCTCTATCTTCCCTCCTCTCTGCATTTCTCTCTCTCTCCCCCCCCCTGTATCTTTCTCTACCCCTCTCTTTCTATGTCTCTCTCTGCCTCCCTCTCTGTATCTCTGTGTCTCTCCCCCTCTCTCTGTATCTCTATGTGTTTCTCTCTCCTCCCATCACCCCCTCTCTCTGTATCTCTCTCTCTCCCCCTGTATCTGTGGGTGTGTGTGTCTATTATTTCTCTCCTCCCCTCCCTCTGATTCTGATATGAGGTGTCAGGCAGGCCACGAGGCAGTCTCGCAGCGCCTTGCACAGCACAGTGAACTTTAGCGCACTTCACAATGGGGGAGATGGGGTCCCCTCCTCCTCCTGGAGCCCGGCCCTCCTCCTCCCCCTTTCTCCTCTCGTTACCCCTGGCCGGCTGTGGCAAGGCCGAGAGGGTGCACCGTTACCATGACAACTCCACTGTGCTATACAGTAGAAGCCATTTTAAGGCACAACAGGTTAACAGGTTGTACCTATATTTTTCTTGACTGTACACCGCCTTGAGTCCTACGGGAGAAAGGCGGTATAGAAATATAATAAATAAATAAATAAACAAACAAACAGGTTGTATCTTAACAGAACAGTCACCCCAAGGAGTGTTAGGGGTGTCTTACCCCCACAGTACTTCTTTCCAGGGAGTAAGTCATCTGTGTACCAAGTTTGGTTGAAATTGCTCAAGATGTACCAGAATTATGCTGGTAGAAGCCATTTTAAGGCAATCCAGTAAAAGCCATTTTAGGGCACAACAGGCTGTATCTTTGCCCGGGTATTTATAGAAGTTGAAGCGTTTGTCTGACAGGGAGCTATTGGGAGGGGCCTTTCTTTCCCCTACTCCCATGCCCATCATCCCTGCCCTCTCCCTTCCCCCTCCCATGCACTCCTCTTTACCGCCCTGTCTACAATCCTGGCACTTTGCCCCAAATCCATCTGGCACTTCCCCACTGGTCCACTGAGGGGCGAACGTCATGGCTGGCTTTCCAGAGGAAGCTGTGAAAGAATTGACATCACAAACAATTGCTGCTCTAGGACACCGCACTCGCTCTCCTTAACGGCCCAGGCATTCTAGTGTTATGCTGGAACACACACAAACACACACACCCAGGAGTGACCAACACCTCCCCCCCCCCCAGTATTTGTTTCCAGAGGGTAAGTCATGTGTGTACCAAGTTTGGTTGAAATTGCTCAAAATGTTCCAGAATTATGCTGGAATACACATGCACTTTTTATATATAGATACCCTTTGGTATCTCTTCTTTCATTTTAAATCATCATTCTGTCTTTTTAAGGGATAATATTTTTCACTCACTGGTTGCTTTTGTTTTCATTCAATAATGGAATTCAAAACTTTAAAACATAGGTCTCTAGGAAAAGAGGAAGCATCGATTTTTAGTGACTGGAAGTTCCCATATGGTCCCATCCAGCAGATTGTGAAAAGCTACATTAGAGTCTTTTCTATTACGATTTCTGCCATGTTGCTACTCTTATTTCGCCAATCACATTTCCCAAATCTCTTTTGTTCTGCAATAGTAGGGAAGACTGTATTTTGATTCACAGATTTGGGAAGAAGTGCAGCAGTTGGTAAATGATAGCATTTTTGCTTGCAACATCATTAGGATAAATGTAGATTTTCCAAGTTAAAATTTAGTGCCTATTTGTCCTTCTGAATTTGTCAGGGAATGTAGATTTAATAGCTGTAAAATGATGGAAGGTTGTAAGCGGAGGCAAATGAAAGCTGATGCAATGGGAATGATTCAGCATCTGGCACCACTGGGTTAAGACTCTGGTGGGGTCCACACAAGACTGCTACCCTCTTAAGAGGTGTCTATAAATAGGTGACCATTAGAGGGTGTATCTCTCTTTCGTCATGTATCTCATTGCTCTCCTTGTGTCCGTAGCTGTGTGATAAAGTATCTACCACATATATGTCTGTATATACAGTATTTAGTTGTATATAAACCATGTTAATTATCTAAAGGCCCTGTGTACTGTGTGCTGTGTTTTGCTCCTAGGTTTATCTCATAATACTAGTCACTCTGCAAAACTCCGACAGAACTGATCACGATGTGGTTTGTAGCCATACTCTACTCTACGCTATGCTACGCTATACTAGGCTACGCTACACTAGGTTACTATACTAAAGTATGACTCAGTGATGGATTATCTTGTTTTAAAATAGTTTAAAATCATACCACTATCAATCAAAACATTACACTATATTCTAAATATACTCTCTCTATATAAATATATAAGTAAGTAGTACATACCAGTGGGAAGTAGACATTCCAATGGTGTACACACCCGTTCCATATCAGGTTACTGTTGGGCTTTTAAAACTAAAATGAAATCAAAATAAATAAGTTACAAATCATGAAACCTAGTTATTAATGCAATATTTAACTATATTTAAATCATGCCCAGAGCATAATATTTGTATAAAAGATTAGTTCAGAGGTAGCCACAAAAAAGGCTGATTTATAATGAACCACAGACTGTTACATACAGTAGGTAGCAGAAAGCCCATTTCAGATTGAGATTAATGTGCAAGTATGTTAGACATCAATTGGATTGATAGATAGTGCAATTTACACTTTGTAAATCTTCTATTCCAGATCAGCAGGAAAATTGTAACATAAAGGAGCCAAATTTGACTTTAGTTTTTAATCGGTAAATATCAATTGTTGTAGAAGTTGTTCCCTGAAGTCAGATCTACCTTTCTCATCCTTTATGATTCTGAAGAGTGTGGAAAGAGTAAATACAGTACAATACACAAGCAGACATCAACAAGCAGACAAACAAACTAGCAGAATCAAATAATGGAGGTTGGCAATACCTGTTTCTCCGAAAATAAAACATCCCCTGATAATAAGCCCAATCAGGCTTTTGAGTGCATGTGCTAAAATAAGCCCCTTTTAAAATAAGCCCTCCTCGAAAATATTTAACTGCATGCACAGCCGGTTCCCGCCATTTCCTCTGGTTAGGGTTAGGGAGACAGAGCTGGAAATCAGGTAAAATGGCAAGACGAGCCCCATCTTGCTCCATGCACCCCAAAATAATAAGACCTCCACGAAAATAAGGTCAAGCACTTATTTAGGGGTTCAAAAAAATATAAGACAGGGACTTATTTTTGGGGAAACACAGTAAGAACGTTTGCATATCCAGCAAAAATGATGTGGTGGGAGGTGGAAGAGAGCAGCAAGTGGTATTCAGTTAACATGAAGTTTTATGTGCTCACTGCCTCTTGTCCCTTTTTTAAAGATTTCTTTTATTCCACCTTTATTATTTTTATACATAACTAAAATAGTGACATATCTAATCTTTCTCCTTTTTCTTATTTTCCCACAACAAAGGTGAGTTAGGCTTAGAGAGAGAGAATAACTGGCCTAAAGTCACTCATTGGCTTTTATGTTTCAGTCAGATCTAGAACTCACAATCTCTTGGTTTCTGGATTGGTACGTTAATCATTAAACCAACTTGATAGTATAATTGCCTCTTTAAAACATTTAACACTTGTAAACACCTATAAAAGTTTTAAATTCTACAAAGAATTTAAGGATTTTAAGGAAACCAAGAAGGAAGCAAAAAAGAAGAAGAAGAAGAAGAGGAAAGTTCCTATCATTGGTTTGAATATTATTGACAAAAGGAAAAATAATTATGGTATCTGTCTTGGGCTCCAACCAACACCTATGTCAGCCAAGCAGATAAAAGTTGAGACATGTTTATTACTGAAGGACTCTAAGGCAGCTGGAGTGGAGAGGTAGCTGAGAAATCTGTAAGTAAAGCTGATAAAAAAGAAAATTCCTCCTCCTCTACTTACTCTATCTATACCACAAATAGATATGACCCTCTGAATTTGGTTACTAAATCAGAACTTGGGAAACCCAATTACTGGAGTTTTCCTTTTCTCTGCATGAGGAGTCAAGGCACCATAATGATTCCCTGCCCTTTTAGCTGCTTATGCTGCTAGGATTGAAATAACTGCTACCTCTTCAATAAATCTTTCCTCTTTGAGGGGTGAGCAGAAACACAAAATGCAAAGGAATATGCAACAGACCTTGCTACCAGGCAATGCTTACTGACTGCACAAACAGTTGTTGTTGTTGTTTTTATTTGATTTATATGCCACCCTTCTCCGAAGTCTCAGGGCGGTTTACAATGCGTTAAGCAATAGCCTTCATACTTTTGTATATTTATACAGCTTATTGCCCCCACAATCTGGGTCCTCATTTTACCTACCTTAGAAAGGATGGAAGGCTGAGTCAGCCTTGAGCCTGGTGAGATTTGAACTTGCAGCTGATGTTAATAAGTGCTTTAGTCTGCTGCGCTACCAGAGCTACTAGAACAGTAATTTCTGTCTTTGAATTTCCATCCATAAATAAAAATGTGGACCTTTTAACACTAGCATTTGAATTGTTTGTGCAAAGGAAGGAGCAGTCTACAGGTGACATTTTCAAAACAATAACAGTACTGAGAATTATCAATCTGTGGCATCATGACCCCACAAAGGATCAAAATCATCTAGGAATAGTTGCATGCTTTAAACAAATGAGGCTGCCTTACTGATCACACTTAAAAGAACTAATACTGGACACTGGACACCATAAAAGCTGTTGTTCAATCTCTTAGTCATATTCTTCAGTGCCAACATCATATGCTCAACGTACATGCTACTGAATGACTTCCAAGCAAGGCAGATCACAAAAGAATTCTGTTTTGTTTTGATCAGCCACAAATCTTTAAATGTCCTGCAAAATGAAATCTTTCCAGAGCTCTTCCCAAATATATCAATTGAAAATGTTTCATGATGAGAAAAGGAGTCAATTTCTCAGAAATTTTTATCAGATTGGATCTATGCTGCCTCTCACTATGGGCAGTGTGCCAAATGATGACAAAATAACTCTTATTATGGTGCTTGATAAGACAACTTACAAAAAAATACATCAAAATAACATGAAATCAGGGTTGGAATCTTAGAAACAGGCTTAATTAACTCTTGAAACCTTAGGACCAGACTTAATTACTTCTTTCACAGTTGTACCAAACTGTGAACAGGAAGAAATATTGAAAAGACATAATGAATTTAAACAATCCCTAAACCATGATTGAGCTGGTGTATCTGGACTTCCTAGTTGATGGCTGCAAAATTAAGAATTGCCATATACCTTCATGCCCCTGTAAATTGACAACTCTACAAAGTCAGGAAAATATGAAATGTCACAGCAAACTTGCAAGTCTAACTACTCAAAACCAAATTGAATCCTCATCAATATGCTATCATTCTTACCTAATGATCTGATGTATCTTAATTTACTTGACAACTCAGCTAAGTAGAATTAATTAAAAGGACCATTATATCACATCCCCACATCCTGTATCCAAGGACTTTAATCCCTAGTTCCTACTGACATCGTAGCAACTAATGCAAAATCTAGAATGTCATCTGCTGATAATTGTATCAGAACCTCCAGAAACCTACTTACCTATATAATGCATATATACCTTAAACAACAAGAGGACCACCATGAATAGTAATATTCAGCAGAAATTCTGGATCACTCGGGAAAAGGTCCCAGCTGTTGAGGCTTTCTCATAGCAGTCAGAATGACATTATGCCCCACAGAGTCTTCTTTCCCTTGTGTCCTGCAACATCACATGTTGACCTAATAATTGATTCTGATTTCATAATTTTTTAACATAGATATGACACAATACTCCTACAAAAAACCTGGATAATAGAAAAGAACAATCATCATAGATACAACTAATACCTACTGAGGGATAAGTATGAGTCCTATAGTATATATCAACACTGAGTCAAAAAACACGATTGATTTAAGTTCATTCCAAATGACAATTGGCAGATTAGAAAGTGATCACTTTCCAATTATTTTACTAAGCCAAATTTAGAAGCAGATCTAAAACAGAGCACTGCAACCAGAGGAAATGTTAAGATCCATTGCACGGCAATGGTGATATATTTGGGAACTATCTTCTAAATATATCCAAATGCTTGCTTTCATTTGAAGTTGTTTTATAATTTTTCCACCATCGTCACCACTCTGTAAATCTTCTTCGTCAGATATATTCTAAATCTTGTCCAAAAATCTTATAGAGGTTCCTCATTTTTGAGGAACCTCACCCTCTACATTTTCCATTCCTCGCAATACACTAAATTCCTCTTTTTTCAAGGTAAGAGGTTAATCCAAACTGATCTTAAAGGTAATCGTGAATTATTACCTCCACATAAATGAACAATATATTGTGTCAAAATGAAGCAAAATCCTTCACCAGCAGTGATGATGTGCTAAAGACTCTGTTTTGCAAAACAGAAATAAATGAAGATCCAGGGGTATCTTGTTAAAAGAAGAAAATGTCACTGTCCAATTTCACCAAAAAGCTACTGTGTTTTCCCGAAAATAAGACCCTATCTTATATTTTTTTGAACCCTTATTGCCATGCGTTCAAAAGCCTGATTCGGCTTATTATCAGGGTATGTCTTATTTTGGGGGAAACAGGGTAGAAGGCTAACTGCAGTATTACAGAGCAGCCATTACCTCTTTGGAATAAGTAGCAATCACACTCTGAAGGATGTGAAATGTATTTGATTAGTAGCTTGGGTTGGTAGTTAGGCTGTTGGTTTGACCTCCGAGTCTGGCAATTTGGTTGCAAACGTTTCATCACCATTTGAGGAGACATTGTCAGTGCATTTTGAGTAGTGCTCATCTGTCAAAACACATATCTTTAAATACCTTTTGGTGAGATGCAAAGTAGAATGAATGTTGTTTGTTCGGATATTTCTGAGTCATGGGTCTGATTTTGGACTGTTTGATTGGCTGGCTGTTATTGCTGGGCTATAGTTAAGTACCATCTGTGGAATGCAGATTAGGATTAGACTCTAGGATTACACATCACTGGATGAAAAAACATATGCCTGTGTATAAGACATAATATACTTGGTATAGCTTTAAATGCTGCCATAGTAAGTGTTTTATAATTCAACATTTCTGGAAGGGATTCCAGAAATCAGGAATGTAGGGAGTACTACAATAGAAGGCTATGATCACCAATATATGATGGTACTGAGAAAAATCCAGGGGTGAAATGCTCCCGGTTTGGACCGGCTCGGGCGAGTAGGTAGCGATGGCGGCGGGCAGTTCAGAGAACCGGTAGCAAAAATCCCTGCCCCCGCCCCCCATGCCCAGCTGAACTGCGCAATCATCAGAGGCTTTTTTTCTTTTAAATGGCTCTGATGATCCAAGCTGAGTTGCCTGATCGGCAGAGGGTTTTTTAAAAACCCTCTGACAATCAGGCAAGTCAGCTGGATCATCAGAGCCTTTTGAAAGCATTTTTTTACATGGTTTTACATGTAAAAAATGGTTTTAAAAGTAAAAAAAAAATTGGCCACGCCCACCCAGTCACATTACCACCACCATCACTACCACCACCACCAAGCCATGCCCACAGAACTGGTAGTAACAAATTTTAGATTTCACCACTGGAAAAATCATATACTTAAATATTGAATTGAATAATAACAAAATGTTCATTTTAAAGTTCATGAAATAATGCATAGAATCTAGAAGAAATAATAATGATTGCAGTAAATCGGACCTGAAGTAAACACAAATGAAGATATGCCGAAGTGGTCTATCAAGAAAGAGATACAGGGGATCATGATAATGGTAAACTGAGAATGGTAAATGGTAAACTGGATCTCAAAATGTATTCCCAATCAGGGAGTCCTCCTCTAAATGACTTATTAACCCATTCTTTCACAGATATTTTCTTATCTAAATAGAAAAACAGAATGATTATGGGCAGACAAAAAATGAGACTGGTAGTGACTTATGACTACCTGCCAACTTCCTCACTTATTCTATATTGGAAGCTGACAGGGAACATCAGAAATCACTCTTCCTCTTCAGCTAACACACATTCTGCCATTTTTCTGGAGAGAGGGGGAATTAGGAAGTAAGGAACTATACAGAAAACTGCACCTTCACTCCCCTTTCCAGAAAAGGGCTGATCCGTTGACATTTAGTAGTCCCCAGCCAATCCTACCTTATCATAAGATCATAAGGCCTTGCCTCCAGCCAACTCCATTTAGATTCACTGGAAGGCAGGAAATAAGATGGGGATACACCTCTCCTCTCTTCCCTTTTGCCCCACAACTACAGGTATCTAGGAAATGTGCAGTCAGGATGTGCAGTGATGCTGAAGAAGCCACAGTTTTGTCAAATGTGAATCGCACAGAAATTATGGTCACACATAGCCCATTTCAGATATGTTGATTCAAAAATTATTGCCCTATGATGCACTGTTTTGCCTAATTGAAGGTTACAAATAATCAGATACAAGACTTTTAGTAGAATATAGATTATCTGGCATTGGACTTCACCAGAACTTAAAGAATTCTAAGTACAGCATCTATTTTGCAATTGTAGGATTTTTCTAAAATAAGAAATGCATCCTCAGATGCTGTTATATGAGTTACAGAGAGCAGACATAGAATCAAAAAGCTAAACAGACTAATTGGATCGTGTTGAAAGTTACATGAATAAATAATGCTACTTAAAAAAGAGCATGTGAGGAAGTTGGTTTCTTTGTAGAAATTGAATCTATCTGTATTATAGGGAGTAATGGTATGTTCCTTGCAAAAAAAGAGTTTTATTAAAATTCTATTTTGTTTCAAGTCAGAGATGAGTGCATACACTTCTTCATAAAAACAACCATTCCTTCTCGTGTGATTCTTCCTCATAAATGAACCACACATTGATATGGATTGCCTAGTCTTGCCTCTCTTTCAAATGTTTGCAGGCACCAGTTTTAATTAAAATGCCAAAAGCAATGGTCTAATAGGGTAACACAACTTTTGCCCTTTCCAGACCTGCATGTGTTGACACAATGCACGTACAAAAATGGAGGAGCTTGCATCGGGGCAGTACAGTGCTGCTTTCATCCTTTCTCTCCATCCTGCAAACGCCTTGCTCACTCTCTAGGAAGCAAAGTTTTATTAAAAGACAGGGATGCAGAAGTAATCAAACATATACTTAGGGCTAGGCTTTGGTTATCAGACTATAATCTATAGCATACCCCTATAAGCCCCACAGAAGACAAGGAGAATTATTTCTATCATGTTTACTAGAGAGACAGTCCTGCTCAAATCTACAGAGTTAAAACCTTAGCAAATAAAGCATTACTATAGAGCATTACAATACAGCATCTTCAAGCTGATGTTGATTTATTTTAGACATAAACCCTAGAAACATCCGTGAACTCCCTTCCTAGTAACCACTCTTAAGATGAGGCTACATAATTTTCCTCTTTTATTTAGTTAATTTTAAGCAGTACCTTTAGCTATTTTTCCTCCATGTTGCTCTTTTATCTCTGGATTTTAAACTTTTTATTGTACCTTACTGAGTTTTATCTGATGCATTTTCTCTGCCAGCAGTTGTTGGGCAAGAGATATAATACCTAAGAACTGGAGTTAAAAATGAATGTAATAAACTATTATTACATTAAGTAACTATTCCTTGCCTGTCTTTCCATATAGGAATACATTCAGTCTTAAAAGAAGGAACTTTTTAACAGCAAGAAATAACATGTAACTATCCTATCATAGTCACCAAGAGTCCAGTTTACTATTGTTTAATTCTAGGAAAAACACAGCTTAATTTACAACATTATTCAGCCCCAAACCATGTACTTAAATTAGCTAAACTACCAGTAAGGAGAAAAATATATCTGGGGATAAGAAGCATCCCCCTTGAAGCATCCCCCTCAAGGCTCAAATATTTAGAAGTAAATCCAAAGCTCTACTCTATCACCTATATTTTGAAAATAACCATTGGGCAAAAGTCCAAACTGGAATGCCAAAAATTTAACCGCTTAAACTAAAGTTTATAAAAACACAATTAATCAGTACATTAATGATATCTGTACAAGCAGTATTATTTAACCTGTAATCCTATACATATCGCTTGGGAACAATGAGTTCTGCGTAGGCATTCATGGCATGGCACTGGGATGGATTTGCTTATTAAAGCAAATGAATTCTGAAAACAGCAGAGATGAACCAGATTACGAGCTCTGTAATTGTTTATCTGCCTATTGTTTGTAAGGAGTTTCCTGGGTTCTGTGCAGTACTTAAATAATTATACAATAATAAAAACTTTATGTCAGAATTGTCATGCTGAAATAAAGCACTCTCTTCAATAATGATGGTACAATCAATAAAGTTTTGTGGTTTAAAGGGATACATATTTAGAAACACTAAAGGTGGTATGATAGAAGCAGGTGTGGGTGTGTATGCATATACTGTACATATTGTAAAAATATGACCCAATGTGATGTTTCTTTAGACTCAAAAAACAAAAGGAATTACCAAAATTAAGAAGCTAGGATCATGGGCCATATAGCTCTGATGATCTAGAACCTGGCACAGAATATGATTCAAGTTTTCTCTTTTTTGTTGAATGAACCCAGTTCATTATAAAACCTAGTCTTGAAATGATGGCAATTCCACTATATGAGACAGAACATTAAACTGCAAGGCTGGCAATTGTGGGCAGAACAGGGCCTGCTGTATAATGTGAGTTTTAGTTATCCGAAATAAGAGATACTCAGCTCAATAAGCAGACTGCTGGAAATTAAATTTACACCTATCCACCCTATTGATTCATGCTTGGAAGTTGGTCCAAACTGGTCTGAATCCCTGACTCTTAATCTCAGGGCTGTCTAGTATCCATTTTCTCTTCCATCTCAACTATTTATGACCCATGGATCAGACTAGGCTTTCTCTCTTAGAGAGAAGTGGTAGTCCAACTTACATGCCAATGTTTTGGCTCTGTCTGACATTAATCTGATAATCACAGGTCAGAACAGAATAAGTTAATAACATACATAAACAGCAAATGCTCTATTATACAATTTTGTTGTCCATGAAAAATAAAAATATTTCTCTAGTCTTGAAAGTGTGTATGACAAATAACAAAACAATATGGCTGTCAGTTGTAAAAATAAATTAAGGCCAAACCTGATTGTTTTGATAGGTATACTTCTAATTTGTAACATCTCATTTAGGGAGAGAATAGAGAATAGTGGAGCTGTTCCTATTCTGTAGCTTTATGGCGTGGGAAAAGCTTTGATAGTACAAATTGAATCCAGATCTAAGTGAAAACTGCAGAGCATGGTCCTTTTCCTTTAGTGCTAAGTTACAGTTTAGTTCCATGAAGACATTTCAGCAGTATCTTCTTTAAAACTCAGTCAATAAACATTTTTACTGCTATCTTACTTCAGCTGCAAAAGTCCCAATGATCATTACATCGTATCAACACGTTTTCTGTCCCAAGAGCAGTGGTGTCAAACTGGATTTGAGGACCAGATTAGCATTGTAATTCTCCTCCATGGACCGGGGGGAGGGAGGGTAGCGGCGGGGAGGGATGGGACGGATGCCTCCTACAGCACCCTACTGGCCAAAACACTGCCAAAACGTGGCACGGGGAATTGCATGCCACTCACCCATGCTTCATTTTCACTCTCCATGGCCTCCTGCAGCACTCTGCTGGCCAAAAACAGGCCATGCAGCCCAGCACCGCGGGCTGGTCCTTTGACATTTCCCAGCCAGCCCTGTGGGCTGGATTTAAGCACTTATCTAGCCCACGGACCTTGAGTTTGACACTGTTCTGTTCCCCAGGCATCTGGCTCCACTGGGAACAGGCAGATAAACTCTAGCAAACAGGTTTTCATGCAGATTATATTTATTTGGGAATCCTTGAACACATAAGACTTACAATCATAGTGAGTCCAGGTGAGGTGCATCCATATTTCATAATCTGTCCCATTTCCTAGTGTAAAAGGATGATAGTT